CACTTGTGAAGAAGTGTGGTCACCTAGTAACTGTGTATTAGTTATCATACTTAGCAGTTGTGACAAAGTGATGGTCACCTAGCAACTGTGTATTAGTTATCATACTTAGCAGTTGTGACAAAGTGATGGTCACCTAGCAACTGTGTATTAGTTATCATACTTAGCAGTTATGGAGAAGTGATGGTCACCTAGTAACTGTGTATTAGTTATCATACTTAGCAGTTGTGACAAAGTGATGGTCACCTAGCAACTGTGTAGAGCTTTTATGTACCTAATGACTACACATTAACTCTTTACATCCACTAACAACCATTTCTTAATTGCTGTACTTAACCTCTTTTAAGAATATGTTTTACTTGTAAGAGGTGTTGCCAAGTGTTCATTAAACTGTGTTTGATAGTTGTAAATATAATTCTCTTGACAGTTGAATGCAGGATGAGGTTTGTTTCAAGAACATTCTCTGCAGATGAGAGGGTAGTGCTCCAGATCCACCTGAGGTAAAGAGATCCTTTTGTAACAGTTCGAGGTTAATGTATTTATCAGAACCTATAGTATGTAAATGTTATGCAATATTAGAAACACCTGAGACACACAAATATATTTTAGCAGTTTGCTCTACCTAAACACGAGTCACTAAACCTTTCGATATAACTTACCTGTACATTCTTCTGTATTTTTTGTCCATGTTAGTTCAGATTTATCAAAAATGTATTGCGAAAGAGGTGTAATGAAAATACAACAGTCTGAATTTTGCATCAGTAGCTTATTGGGCATACACCAAATATTATTGACATTTGAAATAGTGAAGAGATAGATTTGTTGATTGTTTGAGTAGTACTGTATATCTTGAGATAACAAAATCCCAACCTCAAGTCATGTGATTTTGTAAAAACACCAGGAGCTCGGTACGTTTCGTTTTGTGAATTAGTATATCTAAGTAAAAAATGGTTGAAACCTAGCAGAAAAATAATACTTTTTTTTTTCCTAGTAGATCATTTGTGTTTCTCCCCATCCTATACATTTTTTTTTTTTCCTAGTTGATATTCGTTCATCCTTGACGTCTACATATTGAAGAAGGCTGAATGTTTTATTTACACCATTTTACTGTTCATAATTGCTACTCATAATTTTTTCTTATCTCTCATAGAGCCAAGTGCCCTCAGCCACTAAAGTTTTCTAAATTGAGCATTTTGTTCACAAATCAGGTAAGATGTCCAGTCTACATTTTATGCTGGACTAATGTTCTCTGACTTTTGCTTCACTTGAAAACAGAATATTTAATACCAGAACTGTCTCTTGTAATTTTATGTTAAGATAAAAAAAAAAGTCATCTTGTAACAAAATATATGCTTGTTACATATTTTTTCTCTTATAAAATTAATTTGATGTAGAAACTTATATGAACATTTATTTAGACTAATTAGAACTGGAGAATTGGTGGTATTGACCAGTTTATTCATTGAATACTTCATTAATCAATTAAATAAGTGAATGTGGTGTTCCTAAAACCAAAACAAAAGTTGGTGGATGGTGCTGTCATATAGTTGCCTTCCCTTTAATCAGCAGTTCCAAATTTGCGAATGTTCCAGATAGGCTTAGTAACTTTTCCTTAGCAAAAACTTCGTGAATAACCTTAGAAGCAATGGAAGTCCAAACCCATAACTTTTGGATTAGGTAGTTGGGCACAGAATTTATGCCACACAGGGCACCATCAAACATCAGTAAGGCACAGGGGCTGAGCACAGGTAGCCCATTATGTTTCTTTGTGCTTAACAACAAAGAAACACAACAGTAATATTTCGATTATTTGGCTAGTTGAAGACAGTAATAATCAGAAATCCAGATTTCAATTAATTAATTATTTTGTGACAGGTAATTTAATCATAATTTTGATTAATCAGTTAGTTTATTTGACACTAATTGCCAGCTCTATTACTAATGTTTATATTCATCTAATTGTATAATGTTTTTAATGTAAGTAATGTGGAGCTTTGTCCATACAGCATTACAACGAACAGTGTGAAATATCAGATGAAACGTCCGAGATTTTGGGAGAGGCTCGTAACATTGGCAACAGTACAAGTCTCGTTCTTTATCCACAAAAGACAAAGATGTTTACATTTAGTTTTCTTGCCTCAGTTTCAGATGTCGGTCAAGATATCACGGTAATTTGATTCAACTCAGTTAGCCATTTTGTTAACTCAGTTTTTATTTTTGTTTTATCAAAATTTGTTTGTAGTAAAAGTTACATCATAATCATGTTTACATTAAGGTGTTTATATGTACAAAAATACAACGTGTCATCTTTACATGAAGGATATCCATCACACTATCTCATATGGGGCCTGGTGGTAAGGGTGCTCGACTTATAAATCTGCACAACCAAACATCTTGCCCTTTTGGCCGTGTGGACCTTATAATGTGATGGTAAAAGAGTAGTCCAAGAATTGGTGGGGGGTGGTGATGACTAGCTGCCTTCCCTCTAGTTTTTCACTGCTATATTAGGGACGGCTAGCGCAGAAAGCCCTCGTGTAGCTTTATGTAAAATTCAAAACAAACTAAACTTTTTTTATTTTACCTTGCAAATTTCAGCAAATAAGTGCTACAGAATAGGAAAATATCAGTTATAAATAATTTATAGTAAACCAAAATTTAAATATAGTTAAAGTTATTATTTTACTTACATTTTGAAAATTGGTACGCCGGAGTGCACTCAACACTTAAAAGGTGCTCACTGGTCCATATAGAGTAATATAATCAATAATACTTTTATGAGAAAATGTGTTTTATTTCATTATCTTTATTACATTAAATGAAAGTTTTACAAAAAATGTATTAAATACAGTATAAATCCCACCTGTTGTTATCCTTTCTATCTAGTTACTGTTTATTAAGTATTAATCTTTAATATGATTGTTGGATAGCTACATTGCTCTGTTTGTTAGTGTGTCGTAGGTATTGATTTCTTTAACTAGCACTTACGAATATTTCTGAGCTTAGCCAATACTAAAATCTTACTGTTGTTGAATTACCTGAGCTTAAGAGTATTTGTGAAACGACTGTAAAATTAGGATTTTAAGGAAGGATCTTGGAAACTGAGTTTCTTTATATTCATCCCAAGAGACAACTATGTCTCTTGTGAACTACATAAAAACTAGAAGGTATGAGTAACTGTTGACAGATCTATCACTCATAAAAGATTTTAGAAAAGTTGCCGTTACTACTAAGTTCCTTCCGCTGGTTTATTAAAGGGACTTGTTTTTCACTCTTTGAGCGAATTGTGAAATGCACGTGCTCGGCACGATGCACACAGTCTCATCCTTAAGATCTCATTTCAATTTAAGTGAATAAACATATCTTTCATAATATATTTGGTTCAAACTTGTAGGTATCAGCTGTGGCCATTCAGCTTGGGAAGGAGACAAGGTGTTGTGCTATTCTTCGCTGGCCTGCAGCCGGAAATGAAAGTATTGCTTCCCGTCTGCCGTGGTCTTCAAACATGACAGGACTGGGAGATGAATCAAGTTTTACACAGCTCGAAATCCAACCAACCACAAAGTAAATTATCTATCTTAATCTGAACTAATGTGTACAGTTGATCACTTCCAGCTTGAGTTTATGTCTACAGTTAGTTGATAACTTTCTGTCTGAGTTTATGTCTACAGTTAGTTGATAACTTTCTGTCTGAGTTTATGTCTACAGTAACTTAATAACTTTCTGTCTGAGTTTATGTCTACAGTTACTTGATAACTTTCTGTCTGAGTTTATGTCTACAGTTACTTGATAACCTTCCTGTCTGAGTTTATGTCTAC